TACTTGGCAACGAATATGCCAAGATGGGAGTCCAACATGACCTAGTGTCACGGGGGTAGTTCTACAGTGGAAGAAACCCGTGCAGCGTCCAGGCCAAGGTAGGCTAGGACAAGCCTTATGTGTGCTTAGGCTTGAATTTCCTGATGAGATGGCTCCACCAAGGTTAGTAGCATTGGATCATGACCTCAAGACTCATGGCCGGGGCACTCTGCTTACTCTTGTTGGTCCATGGGAGGCGGCATTTACATGCTAAAGGGGGATGGCCATGATGAGAGGCGACTTGGTGCCGATGTGAAGGGACTCCTGTATGCCGCTGATGTAGGCACCCAATGTGCCGCTGATGATAGGCAATCGCTGGGCCGGAACACACCCGTGCGCTATGGGCAATGGGATAGCTCAATCAACTTGGGCAAGGGGCTAGCAAGGTGTAGGGACATGCCTAAGCTAGACCCGCATGCCAAGCCTCCCTTCAGTGAGCGAAGGCGTAGTGCCGGTCCATGCACTGTTCCCATGAGCATGTGTGCGCCCATGAGGAACCTTGGTAGCCATGCTAACCATTAACCAGGGCCACCCCGCAAGGGATGTTGGTCTAGGAGTGCCAAGGTTAGGCATCCAAGGAGGTCGACCACCCTTCCTCAAAGAGTACATTAAGCTTTTAGAGGTCTGCCGGAAGATGACATCAATTCTCCCAAAAATCTTACAGGTGAAAATGACAATGGTGTCCCTTAACGTAAGCCTGCCAAGAGTAGGCAAGGCTAAGCCTGTGTCAGACCGTGATAGGCTCCCCAACTCAATCCATTGTCGTCATCGACAATGGCTCCTTTGTGAATGGGCGTTTGTGTCCCGTGCCATTCACTTATGTGCTAGTTCTTGGGCTCGCCTGGTCAACCCAGGTCTCGCCTATGTTGGTGTCCATTTATGGGGACGAAACCATTTGACCATGCCAGCCTGCCTAGACTTCACCCCAGTGTTGAGGTTACTCAAACCGCACAATGGCTATGCCGTTGAACTATGTGAAAGAAGAGCCCTCGAAGAAATTGGATGTGTGTGTTTCACGGAGGTCCGCCCCATGTATCTCTTTACCTCAAGGCTCGACCGTCTTCTTGGTAGCTTTTTGGTGGTGCTACTGAACACGATGTGATAGGTCTACTCCTACTGTTGGCGATGTGTCTTGGGTACCCTTTCACCATGCTGGCCTGCAGACTTCACCTTGTCGTGTGCGGGTTACTCAAACCTAGTCCATGGCTTGTGCTCTTTTGGCCCTCGAAACTACACTTCACCTCGCCGGTTCGAGCTACCTGTTCGCTCCAAGGGGGCCCCAATGTGTTGCTGCCTCAAGGAGATCTGACCGCAATGTGTGCGATTGGTGGCAACTTTTACCCATGATGTTGTCGAACATGTATTCGCCTGTGTGATGTGTTGTTGTTGCTGCGAATGTTCCGCCCGTGTGATGAATTGAGCATGTCCTCCGATGCATTGCCGGTGTAGGGCTGCCATGCTCCAACGGCCAGTGTATCCACATTCCTATCATTCCAATATTGTGGCTTTAACCGATGACCCATTTTGTGCTAAACTGCCACTTCAGTGATATTCCTTGGCCAACCGTCGACACAAACCAATTTCGGACTGTTGTCCCCGCCTTAGTAGTGCCTTAGACAAAGCTACAGAACAATGGCTCATCTGTCATGAAACCAAGATGTAGGCGCACCGCCCACAACTCTCACCAAAAGGAACAACAACTAATGTCCGTGAGGAAGCATTGCACTCCCCCACTCAAACCACTACAATATGCATTATGTGAAATGTTCCATGTGTCTGCCCCTGCATGAGCGTGACACTCCTTGCGTCTGCCCCCGCATGAGTGCTGCTTTGGGGACACGAATGAATGGCCTCTTGCCAGGCCTGATGTGATTGCTTGCTTGCTTGTACCCGGGTGGAAGTGCCAAGGGACCGCACCCCACTGTGTGCTGCTTGTCGTGATGACCGCTTCAATTGGCTCTGTATGCATTTGCTCTGATACCAATTGCGGCAGCAGTTGGCTAGCTTGCTCTGATACCAACTTTCACTGGGGTAGTTCTACAACGGAAGAAACCCGTGTGGCGTCCAGGCCAAGGTAGGCCAGGACAAGCCTTATGTGTGCTTAGGGCTAGGAGTTTTCTGATGAGATGGCTCCACCAAGGTCAGTAGCACTGGATCATGACCTCAAGGCTCATAGCCGGGGCACTCTGTTGGCTCTTGCCGGTCCATGGGAGGCGCCACTTACGTGCTAAAGGGGGATGGCCATGATGAGAGGCGATTTGGCGCCGATGTGAAGGGACTCCTGTATGCCGATGATGTAGGCACCCGATGTGCCCCTGATGATAGGACAACCGTTGGGCTGGAACACATCCGTGCGCTATGGGCAACAAGATAGCTCAATCAGCTTGGGCAAGGGGCTGGCGAGGTGTAGGGATATGCCTAAGCCAGACCCACATGCTAAGCCTCCCTTCAGTGAGCGGAGGCGCAGTGCCGGTCCATGCACTGTCCTCATGAGCATGTGTGCGCCCATGAGGAACCCTGGTAGCCATACTAGCCATTAACCAGGGCTGCCGCGCAAGGGATGTTGGTCTAGGAGTGCCAAGGTCAGGCACCCAAGGAGGTCGACCACCCCTCCTCAAAGAGTACGTTAAGCTTTTAGAGGTCTGTCTGAAGATGACATCAATTCTCCCAAAAATTTTACAGGCGAAAATGACGATGGTGTCCCTTAACGTAAGCCTGCCATGAGTAGGCAAGGCTAAGCCTGTGTTAGACCGTGACACCAGGGCTTGAGGCCCAATGGACTTGTGCCTTGGGGACATTACTTTAGAAGAAATTTCTGACTGGGAGTTGGGTTGGGTGCTGGATTTGCTTCAACCTTTCAAGGATCAGATTGTTTCTGCTTGCCAAGAAAATGAATGGAGGCGGAAATAGGTGAAGGGGTTGGCGATTCTTTTCTCCCAACTAGCCCTCACTTCCATGTCTTGTGTTAGCCATTTGAATTTCTTCTTTTAATTGCTCACAGTCCAGCCTCTTCTTTTTGCAACTGTCCCACCACCATTTTTGAACCCCCTTCTATAATCAATTTACTTATATTCATATCCTTTGCTCTTTGGACTCCTTCCATCAGAGGTACGATCTCAACCCTTAATGAGTCCCCTTCACCTATTGGCCCAGAAAATATACCAATAATGCTGCTCTTTTTATCCTTGAAAAGGCGACCAATGCCTGATGGTCTTGGGTTTGTTCCCTGCACTACTCCCATCAAAGTTCAGCTTTGTGAAACCACATAGCGGTGGGAACCCAACAAGACTAATTGCAGTCTTATGTCTAGACCTGTTCATGGGCCGGGTAGCCCGACGGCCCGGCCCGCACCCCGGTCGGGCTTGGTCATATAATTAGGCCCGCGGGCCTGACCTCGGGCTTAACACAGTAAGCCCGACTGTGTTTCGGGCCGGGCTCGGGATTTGTCAAAAAAGCCCGGCCCGG